GCGAACCTTGTACTAGCTTGAACCAGTTTGAACTTGATCCACGAATTAAACTTGAAACAGATACGAGTGAACATTTGTCAACTAGCTCTAACAAGCGTATCGTATGGTGGTAAAATAGACATTCCCCCGATATCTCTAACACAGAGCATATAGCACAAGCACACTTCAGTGTCTAGACAATACATGCAGTGTATCTATGTTGAAAGATTTTTTGCACTTGTTAAAATATATAGTTTATACTGAGCTTTGTTTTATCATGATTTTATTCATTTAATTGTGGAAAAATGTTACAGGCAAAAGTAACCCACAAAAATTATACAAACTATATTGAATATTTTATGTCATGGAAAACCATATTGCTCTCAATAAATCTGCATTTTATCTGTGGCTTGACCAGCACTCAGAAAGTGATCTTTTTAAACATAAAAATTACTGCAAAACAGAACTAGTTTCAATTATTGTTCAAGAAAAAAAACCCAAATTGTTCAATAATTTTAGATCTTAAACTAAGAGTCACACATGGAACCTCCAATCCTCTTGCAGAAAAAATATTAATTATTTACATGTGTCTCTCTAAACTATACTATTAGGTTATTATAATATCTATGCTACAGCTTAACTATTTTATACACAAGGTGGAAAAGTTATATATCTATTTTTTTTWAAACATCTAATTTGCCTTAGATTTTTCTTGTGTTTAGATTACAGTCATGTTCACAATTTATATATTACAAAATATATTTTTTGTAGACATGATGATCAAGATATAATATATTAAAAGCATAAACTAGTATGTCTACAACTATAAAGTGAGCATTGTCAGGCATCCACCCAGTAGGCCATTGGTTGACTTGAGGACTGAGGCAGCTCTGTGATATCCACTACCTCACAAGAATTCAAGTTGTTTTTTATCTGTTAAAATAAAGGAAACTTACAATCAAATTTTATGAACTGTTATTGGCCTACATAAATATGGTGTAAAAGTTATGTCTTAGAGCCAATATGAGCTGTCTTGATGAAAACAATAATGGAGAAAATATAATGTAATATATACATGGATGATGCAATATGATTCAAATTTTGATATAACTTACTATCTTTTTTGACTTTCTTGAGTTTGATCTATGTAAAAGTGATCCTGAAGATCCATCCCTTTTAACAACCCCAGCAACTTTCTTTCCAATTGTGGCATCTCCTTCGCTTGACCTGATATTAACAATTTATTTACTTTAATATTTTATGCCCCATTAGCTCAATGTTAAGATGATCAATCTGTTGTGTGAGGTCGTGGTTCAAACCCCAGCTGGACCAACACTTAGGGATTTAAAATAACCAACAACTAAAATGCTTTTGCAATTGCAACTGGAAATGGTTAGACCTTCACATGGCTCAGATGACCACATTACTGTCCAGTGTTATCCCCTATTCTTCAATTGCATGTTACATCATCACGGCCATGTTGTTGCCATTTAACAAAAAATTTCTCATTTGCATCCATTGCTAATGGTACCACAATAGCTGCCACGTTTTTAACTTTTGACTCTCTTGGGAAGGCTTGCAACCCATCGATTAAAAAGAAAAGTTGGTATTTTTTGTATAAATAAAGCTGACAAACCCATTGTGGACAATATATTTACTTTTGTGCTCTTGCATCTGTTGTGCAAGGTGGCAATCCATTTATGAGATCATCTGGTTTTCCTAGATGAAAAAATAAAACACTGTCCATAATCAATGCTATTTTTGACATAAAATATCAAAGTTTTGGACATATTGTCAGATTGTCAAAGGCAAGACTCAGGTCAAACCTCAAACATCACATGAGCCAAAACTAATTGAAACAATGGACAAAAGGCAGTCTTCTTTGATGTCATTAGGTTTGGCTCATGCGAAGTTTCAACATATGATCTTAGTCTAAGCTCTTAATACATTAATACCTAGTTTTTTCTTTCCATTTTTCTTCTTGTTCAAGAAAAGTTGTTTTCTTTTTTCCTCATCACTTGCACTTCCTCCACCAGGTCTGGCTGCAGTTGTTTTTTTTGGTTGTATCCCAACAAACTGGTTAAGAACCTCTACCTGGGTACTCCTGCTATAATAATCATTGAATAAGAATACTAATATTTAATCCCAGTTAAATCAATACGAAATATAATCATGTAAATTCATCTTTACTGGTAAGTTCTACGATAAGCAATATTATTATGATTGATGTTTGAGACATAGTACTGTCACTGGATTTGAAAGAAACTTATTGAGCTTTTGACTGGACTATCTAGAGATGACTGCAAGTCAGGCTTTATAAACCTTGACATACAGGACCATCAAAAGCTCAAACAATTGCTGTCAAATCGAGTGTACTGGATTAAGTTAATTATTGTTTCTCATAATACTAAATATCTTGTATGTTTTTGCAGCACATCATCCTTGAGTGAAAGAAATTTTGGAGGTGGCATCCTGTGGGAAAGTTTTTACTTTATCTTTCATTTTCATTCTACAATACTGTACTTGGTTACATTGTATATCTAAACATAGTAGTCTGTGTTGAGGTATAGCATGGTTTATTATTAATAGATAAAGTCTTTACCCAGTTCTCAAATCTGCAGGACATGAAAGAGATTTGATGTTTGCTGAAAGCAGCTGGTTTGGCTTGGGTATACGAAGTGCAGGTCCCTGTATAGGAAATGATAACAAACATATAATAATCAATCTCATAAACCTAACTTTTAATTAGAATATTTTTTTCTATTTAAAAAAAAATAGAAAAAACTTACAGTGATAGGAAGATCCAAGGATACCCGTGGCTGATCTTTGTTCTTTGGTGCCTGCAAGTAATGCAATCAATTAAAACAGATTTGACAAGGGTGATTATAATGGTCCATAAATGAGTGGGAAGGGGGAAGGTGAGGGGCTGGTTGGGCTTTAACCCTACTAATTTTTCACATCTGATTGATCTAAATATTAAACAAATATTTACCTGTGTCCTGAGAGTTCCATTAGCTAAAGAAAGACTGTCTGTATTACATCCAGAACTAATCTTTCTATTAACWGCTGTTCTGTTAGTAGATAGCCCAGATATTGTCTGTGACAACCGCCTTGGGGCAGCAATGATTCTTTTGTTTGCTCTTGGCTCATCAAGTCCTTTTTTTGATACTGAAATATTAGAAAATATTTTTAAAATGAATAATGATGATGAAAATAAAAATTGATGTGTACAAGTTTCAATTATTTAAATTAAGAGCGGAATATGCTGCAGTGAGTATTGAATGTGACCATGCTGATGGACTAACATGTTTGATTAAGTGATTAAGGCTGAATTGAAAGAGAGTTGGAAAGAAATGAATACCTACCAGCACTGATGTTCTGTGTCATTCTTTCCGTCACTTTCTGTGCAGCTGCTGATAATGTTTCACCTGACAGGTCACTGGATGATGTACTCTTGAAGGTTGAGCACACCTTCTGCCTTGTCGTTGCTGTTGCACCTGCTACTATACTAGAAATAGAACAAGACACTGTTCATTAAGGACTGTAGTCAAGTGATAGAATTCCGGTGTCATGTTTATACTGGGAACAAATGAGGTTAATGAGGTTATGTGGACTGCAATAGTTTGATGACAGGTTCTCATTTAAATACTGGCAGAATGCAGGACTCTAGGTCACAGGTAAGAAGTTTTGTTGTTCTAATATCTCAGATGAACTGCACAAGATAACAGACACTGACATTCAACAGTCACACAGAGGCGGACATTCAAATAAAGTATATCTATCCATCTAAACCTTCCATTAGACAGTAATATTCTAGCTTGACTTACCTTGATGTTTTTGTAGCAGCTCTTGATAGTTTCCTGGGCACAGCTGGAGCATTCTTGGCACTTTTGACAAATCTCATCACCCAATTCTTAACCCCTTCCACTGAACTAAACTCACTAGTAGGTAGGCGTGACCAAGGGTTGGAGTTATTCATATCTAGAACTGCTACAGCTAGAGCTCTTCCAACCTATCACAGGTGATGATTCTATTAGTATTAATTATAATAGTAGCACTATGAAATAGAGTCATGGGAAATAACTATTAATGTGAATTTTGAGTCAGGGATTTGATCCACTTTTCCTTTAATGACAAAGGACTGAAAAGTCTTGCAATTTTAATGCATCTCTGGATTGATGTTTTTTGTACTGCTGTCAAGGCCTGTCAAAAATGGTACCCTTATTTCACTGGGAATACATAAACCACAAAAGCTCAAAATATTCTTTTAGAATCTCATTATTGTGTGCACTATCACTGGTGTACCTCTTCATATATCTCAGTTGTAAACTTTGGAGGAAAGCCAGGAGGTGGTGGTGGTGTGGCCCTGCCATTATCACATGTTGCTGGGGGTACTGGGTTTAACATTCGGCCACTGTTGTAATTACATTCCAGTGTGTAGCTAAGTAAATCAAGCAATATTATACAGAATATTAATTAAATATATGAGGTATATATACTCTTACTAATTAACATGAACAATGTAAAAGAATGTATTGTCTGAGGGCGCTTTCCATTAAGTTAAACTGGTCCGTCGGAGTGGCCAGTTCTTAAAATGGTAGATGTCAGTTCTTAGAACTGGACAAGTGCAGCCCAAACCAGCTCTAAGAACTGACAGGGACCAATTGAGAACTAGCTGCTCGGACCAATTCATATGACTTAAAAGAAAGGGCCCTGAGCTTGTAGCCTGTTCAGCTGGCTAGGGACTGGTGAGGATTGGCCGTCAGGATGGAACCCTTTCCTTCCTTACCAGTCTGCCATTCAAGGACCAGCTACATGGCTAGAGTGCTCATTTAAATATGCATTAAACAATATTGTACTTACCTGTGTATAATTGATGTTGACTTGAAAATAGCAACTCTCCCACTTCCCTCCTTTGACATGCCATCTCTTTTATCCTTGGTGTACATATTCTTTTCAGTAAAATTACAGCCAGTGAAATCAAAGTTGGCTGAATTGATGGACATTAGTTTGGGGTAAAGTATAGATTGAACATAGTCCTCCTCATTGTCCATGTAATTTGCATACACAAAACAGCCTCTCTTTGATGCATGTCCATGAAGATCAACATAGAATGCTAGATCTCCAGTCCTCTTTGATCCATCCTCTGTTAAACAGTTACATGCTAGATCTCCATTTCTCTTTGATCCATCTAAATTATTTTGAGATACTTCAGATGATTCATTTGTTTCCACAACTACTGTTTTATCTTCATTTTCTTGTTCCTTTTTGTTATCACATGTATCGTCCAAGTTTGTTTTCTCTATTAAATCTCCTGTGTTTTCTAACATCTTAATATCTACATTAGTATTTGTTGAACTTTTGGATTCATTATCTCCAAATTCAGGTGATCCTGCTGATACTACAGTAATATTATCACAAGGTATAGGTATAGTTTCTTTCATATTTTCCTCACCCTCAGTAGATAACCTTTTCTCCTGATCATCTTTTGTGCTAGCATCATCCAAAGTCAGAGAATTAGTTAATGATGTCAAAGTRTTTGTTGCATTGTTTACTGTTTTTCCACCACAAGAGCAAGTCCTTTTCTTTATTTGATGATCCATTTTATTATGATGATACAAGACGAGAGACTTAGCAGCATATATAGTAGGGTGTAGTACTGGATCAGGGTCTAGGTATACTCTATTTAGGTTAACTCCTCTTGAATCCGTCCTATAATGACCTYTCTTTACCCCATCTGGGTTGAGCATAGGAACAAGTTTAAAGACATACTGGTCACGAAGGGCTGCAGCTCTTGGGTCATCTTGTCTTAGAATAAAGTCTAGAAATCCATTGAATACAAAACTAGATGGCGTCTCTCCAGGATGAACTCTAGCACTTAGAAAATAAACCTATGAAAGCAATATCATTATTTAGAATGACAGCATTGTACACCCACTGTTTCTGTTCATCAATGTATAGTATGGTTTGGTTAATGTAGCTAAGGGAGGATTTATGTAAAGGCCCAGGAAAAATAGGCAGCATCAGCCAAACAAAATTGTTTACTGAGGGAAACGAGCAGCAAAGGCAGGAGCAACTAGGGGGATTTTGGGCATGCATGCCCAGAATATTTTGAAATGGAAATCCTCGGAAAAGCAATTTCCAGAGTTTTGAGGGTATTTGTTAAATTTACAAAGGCAACTGCCTTGCTTGCCTCATAATAGGTGTGGCCCTGCCTTTAACCCTAATCAAACCCTCTTAGTCAACAATTTATTGAGATAATGAGGAATGACATGRCCAAAAATTATGGAGAGAGATATTTCTCATGATATGCCACTGTGAGTAATTAATTCATCTTTCTTACCTTTTTGCCTTTGAATTTATGAGCTCTTGGAGTGTCCAGATCAGGAAAAAGGTTATCTAGCCTAGTTTCTCTCTCTTCTGTCATTCCTTTACAAGATGTTATAGTCAGCAGATCCATGCGTAAATCATCCAGTGACTTACACAACAATTCCCGATAAAAGTAGATAGAATTGCTTGGTGATGAAGGTGTCATTGCCTTACAGGAATCATATACCTTGTCCAGTGCATCAAGATGTGTTTGGAGTTCCAAATAAGAGTAAGGATAGCAAAATGCAAAGTAATGTACTGAATTCTTCTGCTCTGGAAACCGATAGGTAAATGAGAGGATAAACTGGCCATCAACGGTCTGAAAAAGAATAGTTTTCATTATGGATGTACCTAATGCAAATTCATTAAAGCATAGCTATTATCAAATAGGTGTTCCAAATTCCTCAAGTAAAATCATTTCATATGCTGAAGGAATATCTCTAAGTAGCTAACTTTAACAAAACAATTCATAAACATCCATACAATGTATTCAATATCGTACAATAATGGTCTATAGAATCAACATAGTCTGTATTAGATAACTAGTTATTGTACATACCTCGTAAGTAGGTCTTTCACGTATTCGCTCCCATTTATTCCTTCCTGGGACCACCTTGACAAAGGGACTCATCCCCTGACTGTACAGCTTTCCTTGACGATTAAGATTCATTAYATTTATTTTCAACAGCTTCCCAGGTGAACCTCCTTTGACCCCAAAATGAAACCATGTTCTGTTAAGATTCTCAAACTCCGTTCCCACAGCATCAGGCCAAGTCCAGACGTTGTATTCATAGTCAGGAACAGCAAGACTTGGTGCACTTGTACTACTTTCTTCATCTATGTTTTCATCCTCTTGTTTCCGTTCAACCTTGGCTAAATTCCCCGAATCGAAGTTTGAAAAGAACGTAAGAGGTCCAATACGTTGTTCCATTCTTAAATGGCTAATGCTACAGCATTATTTAAAGTGTATTTTAGTTTTTTTGGTCCAACTCTTCATTCCAACAGACTCTTGTCAGTCCGCCATTTTGGAGTTTTAAGATAAACGGCTGTTGCTAGGGAAACCAAGGCCAGGCAACTCGTACCCGGGCTGTGCGCGTCGCTTCTTTTTATCAATTTATTTGCCAAGAGACAAACAAGTCCAATGCTTTATATCGCCAGCTTTTATCCCTCTGGGATCAGTGATTTCATGAACTACTTAAACTGTTGTATGTTTAAATTAACATCATACTGAAGATTACTTTCGCAGTCGAAAACGTTTTATTTTAAAAGTTTTAAAGACACCATTTCTATCCTTGTCAATATATAGACAAGTATATATTTCAACGTTTCTTTGCATTTTCTATTTCTTTCGTTCTTTTTACAGTTGTAAATACTAACTTTGTTTTTTTTATCTTCTACTATTAAGTCACTAGCAAAATAAAATATCTTTACATTTTTATAATCCATTTTTCCTTCAGTCTTTGAGAATGGTTATCATAACATCACTATGAAAGCTACTATCAATTATTCAATTTTCGCTTCATTTTAGTATGTAATAGTCTAAACAATATATCTAGATATGAAACTGTTACAGCAGTATAATCACAATTGATACAAAAGCGGAAGATACTTTTTCGTTTTGATTAAAAACTCGGACTGAAACCCATTTCTTCTCGCTCTTCCATAGCACGTCGTCTTTTCTGTGAAAGACGAAAATGTATAAATATTTATAGCTAAATAATTCTGACTAAATCTATAAATGTTCATTTTACTCCAAGTTAAGTCTGTGTTCGAGTAAGTTTTCTCGCCTTTAAGCAATCCAATCTATCTTGTTCATGTCTGAGAAACGACTGTTTCAAGTGCCAAAAGCAGAGGTTTAAGGAGGGAGGGGGGGGGGGGGGAGGGGATTTAGGGACACATTCTCCAGAAAATCTTCTAATTTGAAATCAGTTCTCAGATATCCTGTTTTTCTGCAGGGAGTGAAGGTCACTCGAGTAGATCGATCGCAACTGGGAATCCGTCATTGATAATAGATCCATATAGAAAGGGCGGTATATAAATCACAAATCATCATCACCGGCAAACCGGCATATAATAATAATAATAATAATAATATTAAAACAGCAAACAAACCCAGTTTTTGGATTCCTCGGTTGTTATAAGGTCGATTATAGCATGAAGTAACAATGAGCCACTATCCTCTGCTGTTGAGGAGCCTACAGTAAGCCGTAGGTCTGGCTGGGATATCTTTCTCTCGAGCAGTTTATCCAGTTGAGCTCGTAATTCCTGATGATCAGAAATTATGACATAGGCTAAGAGGCGTTAACATAAGTTCTTGTCCACACGTATCCGAATATTTCCGAAAACGGAATATTTTCTTTGTGGATTGGCCTTCCGTCCACGCACGCTTAATGGGTCGTATACGCCACTTGAAAAAGCAACTTTTCCATCACGCTTCGTTTAGAGTTGTATTTTTCAAAACCGCCTTTTTCATGTTATCGTGTGGACCATAGGTGATAGAGGGGCCTCTATTAACTATGTGTGAACGGATAAAAACGTAACTTTTCGAAAACGCTAAAGTCATTGTATTGGACGCTTTGTCACCAAACAAAAATAACACCAATCTGTTCCATGTGCTCATATTACTCTATATTCCGTGTACTCTGTCTGCGTTTTCCGATCGTCTTTGCTCATTGATCTTATTCGTGTGGACGGGCGAAAACGATTCAAAAACCCTACGTGTGGACGGGTCCTCACAAACTAGACAAAGTATTGGGGATTTTTCAAAAAGCTGGAAATGAGTATTATTATGTGGTGTGTTACTGACTGACCTTCACCATGTTGGCAATCTTCCTGGGAGATCTAAAGCGAATGAAGTCATCTACTGCAACGATCTCATGTCCTTCCTCCACTAGAACTGATATCTCTCCTCCAAAGAAGAGGAGAGGATAAGGAGAAATCATGGTAGCATCATGAATGAAGACCTAAAGAAAGCAAGAGAACCATTTTCCAGGTCAGGAGTATCGCCTATTACCATCATCATGCATAATCATCACCATCATGTCTCATCATCTATCATTAATCATCACATCATCTGTCATGATTCATTGTCATCACCATGCAATCATCATTCCTAAGTATCGATATGGCTCTCATCATCACCATCATCACCATCACTATCATCATCATCACCATCATCATCATCATCACCACCACCATCATCATCACCACCACCACCACCATCATCATCATCACCACCATCATCATCATCATCATCACCATCATCATTATCACCATCATCATTATCACCAACACCACCACCACCACCACCATCATCATCATCATCTTTATCACAGTTTTCATTGTTTCACTTATAATTCTGACAAAAGATCATTCCTACCTTTGAGGATTTCATTTTCTGGTGATAGATCAGCCAGTTGTTTTCATACACAACATGTTCAACGTTGACAGACTTTGGGTGCAAAGCAACTCTACCGTCTTCACGTGTGATCATCTTAGGTGGACTGGAAAACATAAATATTTACAAATATTAATCAGTAACTGCTGTATTGGGTGTGATTTGAAAACGAGTTTCTCCAGTGAATTACTACAAACTGTCGCAGTTATTTGTTAGTATAAAAGTTTTGACTCACCGTTTCAATTTAGGATGATGTTCTAGTTTCACCACATTTGGGTACAAACCAGCACATAACACTGCTTTCACAAGTTTAAGATTGTCTATAAAAGGTTGAAAACCAGCAAAGATAAGTCTTTTAGCTCACAGTGCAAACACGAATGGCATGACGAATTTATATTTTACTAACGAACCACAATACATGAAATAAACGTGCTACAAACCTGAATTCTGATTGGATGTTGAGTTTTTAGGGTTCGTGTTGTCCAGAAACCCAATGTCACATAAAAGGCGAGCAAACTGTAGCTTCATGTCACTCAACATCTAAAACATACAAATGACTCGTGTATTGTCTTAAGCTGTCTTAGCCTACTCTAGTAGAGGGGCACCTAAATGCTGTTCCAAAATTGCGAGGAATAAACTTGATTTATTGAAACATTTCAGATGAGACACAGCTAGCCCAAATCTTACCCGTGCTCTCTCGTTCAAGGTGATGGACTTTTTACTAAACCCTTAATTACCTTAAGTGTTTGCTTTGAAAGGAAGTTTTCCCAGCAGTATAAACCATCATTGTTATAACGTTTAGCTCTTTCCCAACCCTGAAAAGGAAACAAGGAAAGAGTTACAAGGCCAACATCAAGCATGCGTCGATGAGTCACGCAGTGTTTTGTACCTCGTAAGCATAAAGTACAGCTAGATGGTCACTTCTAGTTTCACCAGCAAACTTCATTCGAACTCTGTCTGCCTGCTTCTTTTTATCCTGAAACGGATTTGATGAAAGATAAAATGAAATGAGAGAAAGAATAAATAAAGTATAGGATGGAATGTGAAAGTATGGGAGGGTAGGGAGGGTAGGTCGGTGAATTGACAGAAAGAAAGAATAAACGAATGATAACGAATGGATGAATGTGGATAGATGAATGATGGGATGAGGGGATAAATGGATGGATTGGATAGGACTGGATGGGCGGAGGGATGGAAGAATGTAGGGATGGATAGGCAGTTGTATATGACAGACAAACTTAATTCTGTTAAATAAAAATAATCGTTACCAGAGGAAAAACGAATGGGTCTTTGAATCCCAAAGTAGAAGCGATGGTGAGAACAGGATCAAGACAGGAGAAAATGGCGCCAAACAAGATCATCTTTCCAATACGAGGATCAACTGGTAACGAGGCCAAGTGGTAACCCAAGGGAGTGAGAGATTCGTTGTGATCTAATGCATTCTAAACAAACCATACAACAGAACCAATGTTAGTGGAATGTCCAATAGAAAGCAAAGCTAGGGAAGAAAAGATATGATAGGGACGGCAGAGATGATCACTAAAATGGCAGAGGGCCAGAAGGAATAAAGGTTCAAGGGTCACTCTTTTCATCTGTAAACCAGTTGTTTGGCAAGTAGTTCAGTTTTTGTAAATCAGTTAGCATAGAGCATCGAATCGTCGTAAAGATAATTAGGAAGTTCTAGTGGAGGTCATAACATCACTCTAACTGAAAAGTGTCGTATTCAATAAACCCCTTGCATGTGACGTCAAAGCAGCTCAATTTGGAGTACAAAACAAAAGAATATAAATCTCATGAAAAATGGTGGAAATCTCCTTCAAATTGAGATGCATTCCGACGTGCTGCAAGAGGTCTATAAGCTTACCAACTGTTTTAATGTGTCCAGAGCATTTTGAACGGCTTCAGATGAAGGTGGTTGTAAAGCTTTAGACAGGAATTCGCCTATCATTCCCAGCTTTAGTATCTAATAATTAATAAATGAAAATAATATCCATTAATATCCACTAATAAATTTATTCTTGAAACCCCTTACTCCAAGCCATTACGTGCATAACAAAGAAAACTGAAACGAATACAGGTTATATGAGTGATTAGAAAACTATTTACTCAAAGCACACATTATCAATAGGATTCCACTTTCTTCGTGCAAATCATGCATCTATGAAGGTTGAATATGGTTTTACAATATACGACACTCTGACTGCTTATAAGCGTGTCATGTTCTCCGATCAATCAATAAGAGTGACGTAGTTTACCTTGATCTGCAGACACAGTTCTTCTAAAGGAGTGCGTAGCATCTCAGGAAGCTGATAGTCAATCATTTTCAGTGCTTGGAACTCGGTAAACAAGTGAAAACAACATCCAGGTCGAACCCTGAAACGTGTGCATAATGCGGTTAAAACATGGATAAAATATTAAGTAGTTCAACCAATTGATGTGTTACCTTCCTGCGCGTCCCCTTCTTTGTCGAGAAGAAGCCTTGCTGATCCAAACAGGCATCAGACAAGAGATTTTACGAGAAACATCGTACGTCTACAGATACATGCAAAGATACATTAGTCTAAGAGAAATAATGAACAGACTTAAACAGAAGTCCATAATGAACTTCTGACGTACAGTGTATGCGAAACGTGAAGTTAGTATAGAATACATATAGAATACAGCCATAACAAACAAGTGATTGTGACGAGAATGAAGACAATTCATACCTTTTCTTTAACCTTCCCACAGTCTATAACATACACAACGTCATCAATAGTAATACTAAAGGGAAGACAAAACAAACAGATTAACTAAAATCCATCTGTATGATAGAGTAAAACTTTGCCTCAACTTGCACCAACAAGCTTTCCACCAAATAGTTAGTTACCTAGTCTCGGCGATATTTGTTGCAAGAACTATTTTTCTTACTCCAGAGGGAGGGCGATCAAACACCTGTCAGCAAACAAGACCAAGCAATTGTGTTAGCCTGAACCAACAGCTTCTCACACAACCATCTCTCACTGCATAAAACAGATCATATACCTACATATTCTAGTTTAATCAGCTCTAGGGATTGCACTAGGATTTTTGTAATGTGGGTTCTTGGACCCATGTGTCTAGGCACATTAGGCTCCCAAACATATTTGATGGGTACCATTTATTTCTTTACTTAACTTGTCAGCTTCTTTAACACGTTTATTATGATTGAACTGTCAGACCAAAAAATGTCCAGTTCTTCTCACCAAGCAAACAGCTGCCACGAAATTGTATTGCTTAACTTGCTTCAAGTATCCTTTAGCTTTCACTTCATTCATTTTAATCATTATTTTCCTCATATCCTCTGCAGGATTCTAGATTGTGAAGCTCTCGGGTCCCGGGGCGCAAAAAAAAAAAAAAAAAAAAAAAAAAAAAAATCAAAGTACATATGATTTTCTTTTTTCTTTTTTGCGTTAAAATGAACGATTTCTGCGTAAACTCGAGCTCTGAATTCAATAACGTTACCTCACGTTGAGATGCTGTTGGCATCATTGAATGTACTGGAATGATGAGATATTTATCTGTAAGGAAATTAAGAGGAAGTAGACAAGATGTGAAGGAAAAAACCAAACAGAAATCGAGGCTCGATAAACAGTCCACAAAGTAACAAATAAACAAAGATCATTCCATCTAAAATCGTATTTTTATGCTTTTGAGCAGACTACGTCACGGCTTTTAGAACAAACACTTTATACAATGAAAACGCTCCTTTACAATCATGATAATAAAAATCATGGTGTTTACGAACTCCGTACAATACACGGCTAGAGAACCCTAGATAACAGCACAGCAGTTTGATGCGTAGTCAAATAGATACCTGACGAGAATACTCTTGCGTTCTTGAGACTATCATGGACCTTACTAATATCATCCCATCCTGGCAGAAATACTAAAATAGCACCATTCTAAACAGAAAAAAACCCTGGTGTTATATGAAGCAAAACTCTCTCTAGGAAATCAAACTGATACAAATCTAGGCACCATTCTAATATAGAAAAGAAGAAATAGAAAGCGCGCGCGCGTTTATGTGGGATCATAAAGTACGTGGGCATTGGCAGAATGCAAGAGAAGGGTTAGGAGACACTTATCGAGTTTTCTGCCAATCCCTAAGTGCTATATAACTCCACACAGCACGGCAAGCAAAATTTTTTATTTCGAATCCTTTTATAACATACCTATTAGAGTAACTGTTATTTTGGATACAAATGACAAAGTAAGAAGTGCGCGTGCATGCTGTGTGCTCTCCTAATGCACACGCTCCCAACCAATCAGAACGCAAGATTCAAAACATCAGGTAGTCTATGTTCTATTTCAATGGCCCTTGTATGAGCTCACCTCTAGATTGGTACATATATATGTGATGAGCTTCACTACCAGATCAACGTTGATGCTGGTAAAATCCATGTTTTCCAGACAATCTAATGTTGACGCGAAATACCTAAACAATATATCAAGCATGTAAATAACGATGAATCAAATAAAATTAATCAAAAGGTATTTGGCCCAAAATATGTTATCTTTAGGTTCACTAAGAATACCTTGTTTTAATGGTGTGTAGATATTCCCTCCACTGTACTTCTTCATCATTAATCTCTTCCTCTTCACCAAATGCCATCTTTTCTGCTCTTCTCTTCTTGGCCCAACTCTTTACACCACCTTGTCTTTTCCATCTTGGCCCTCGAAAATTTTCTTGAGATCTGGATGAGTCTGGATTCTCATATCTTAGAAAGTAGAAAAAGCTATTGTAACATTAACTGTAAATCTCTTCCAAAAGTTGACAACATGCCACACTCTTGAATACCCTCACAAGCCATCATTTATTAGGTACTTTAGGAATCAAGGGTGAAGTAAGAGATTCACTTGCCTCTCACCTTTGGGGTCTCAGGTTCAATTACTGCATGGACGTGATTAGAGATTGTTAGGTCTTTTCATTGATTTGAGGATTTAAAAGAAAATCCAATTGAATCTGTGAGTTTGCCATGTTGTGACTTAGATCTGTGCAGAAGTTGTTTCAGGGCACAAACTCAGAGTTAGCTGTGCCCTGACTTAGATCAGCCCCGAGGTTGTTTCAGGGTTCAATCTGTGAGTTAGCTGTGCCCTGACTTAGACCAGCCCAGAGGTTGTTTCAGGGTTCTATCTGTGAGTTAGCTGTGCCCTGACTTAGATCAGCTCACAGGTTGTTTCAGGGTTCAATCTGTGAGTTAGCTGTGCCCCGACTTAGATCAGCCCAGAGGTTGTTTCAGGGAATCAATCTGTGAATCAAATGTAGGAGAAACAGTACCTTATCATTTCAATGATGTCTTCAACATAATATTCCTTGACTGGGAAAGTAAACCCTGGAATGTGAGCCATGGGACAGTCATCTGAATATCAAACAAAGATAGAAGTGAGAAACAAAGATTAACAGTTGCACCAGTAATTTTATTCCTTTAGGATAAACCTACCAAAATATGAAGAGAACATCTCTGCATTAAGTGTTGCACTCATTAGAACCAATTTCAAATCAGGCCTGATAAAAAGATTTAGCAGTCAGTATACCAGCTAGACTAGTGTGGCTTGGTTGGTTAGTGTGCTGCCTGCTAAGCAGGAGGTCCATAGTTTGATCCTCAGTGACCTCACACACTTGTATTAGGGGGTAAGTATGGCTTTGTTGGTTAGTATGCTGCATAGAAAGAGGTCCATAGTTTGATCCTTAGTGACCTCACACATTTGTATTATGGGGTAAGTATGGCTTGGTTGGTTAGTATGCCTGCCTGCTAAGCAAGAGGTCCATAGCTTAATCCTTAGTTACCTCGCACAATCATTTTAAGGAGCAAGTGTAGCTTGGTTGGTTAGTGTGTTTTCCACTAAGCAAGAAGTCTATGATTTGAACCCCAATGATCTTAATATTACTAACATTGCTTTTTGTGAGGCTGTCTGTCAGTTATGTGGATCAATACATGCTTGCAATTGTCTATAGCATGTTCCCCTGAAGACACTGCAAGTATGACATTATGATTGCAATATTGTGAAGGGTATTTTCACACCTTTTAGGTAAAAGATCCTTAATGATGATAAGTAAGAAATCTGACATCAAGTCTCTCTCATGAATCTCATCTACAATCACATGACTGATGTTATGTAACAACCTGAGGAAGAATAGGAATGCTGTTAACCCTCAGTTAGGTAGCCAATGAAACACAAGCCTGAATAGACCTTTTCCTGAATTCAGTAGAGTGACCACTAAAGAATGGTTCCAAGTTGAGGTTAATAGAGTAACTTAGAGACATCCTTTTGTCATCACTCAACCAAATAAAGGCTCATACAGTAACTTAGAGACATTCTTTTGTCATCACTCCACCAAATAAAGGCTCATACAGTAACTTAGAGACATTCTTTTGTCATCACTCAACCAAATATAGGTTTATACAGTAATTTAGAGACATTTTTTTGTCATCACTCAACCAAATAAAGGCTCATACAGTAACTTAGAGACATCCTTTTGTCATCACTCAACCAAATAAAGGCTCATACAGTAACTTAGAGACATTCTTTTGTCATCACTCAACCAAATAAAGGCTCATACAGTAACTTGGAGATATTCTTTTGTTGTCACTCAACCAAATATAGGTTTATACAGTAATTTAGAGACATTGTGTAGTTCCAGAAATTATCCATATCCACCCCACAAAGGAATTTGGAATTTCTGAGGGGTGGGGGGATCAAAGAAAGAACAAAAATAACAGAGTTTGTATGGAAGAAAATTGGAATTGCCGGGGGTAGGGGGTGTCTTAAAAAATTCCTCTGTGGGGGGTATAGATAATTTTTGGAACTACACATTCTTTTGTCGTCACTCAACCCTCAACCAAATAAAGGTTCATGCAGTAACTTGGAGACATTCTTTTGTCAACACTCCAAATTCGGTAAAAGGTTTATCACCATATCTTAAACTTTTAAAGTACAAGCTTACTCATCTGATATCAGCCATCTTAGCAAGACTCCAGTGGTACAGTAGATAATAGAACCTTTGGAGCGGGGTAACTTACTGCTCAAAATAAGAACAAACATAATTTAGAAATCCGAAATCAGGATCTTTTTATAAAGTTTTGAGTATCAACACTTTACCTTTCCAGTCTTATTTGGTATCCAACACTCTGCCCTCCACATGGCTCACCACGCTCTTCTGCTACTCTTTCTGCAACCTAAAAAAACCATCATTATCAATAAAATAAATCTAACCAATTACTAATATTTTATCCATTCATCCATCCATCTCCATTAATTAACTAATTTGTTTGTTTGTTTGTTCCCTCCCTCGTTCATTCCTTCTTTCGCTCGCTTGCTCATTCTTTCATTCGTTCCTTCATTTACCCATCCATTCATTTGTTCATTTATTCATTCATCCATTCCTTATGTATGTATTTACATACAGATATTGCACTGATCCTTCTTGGCTGTGTACAAGCAATCCTGCACAAAGAGCCTTGGCCATTCATAATTGCTTCATCRAGAATAAATTGTGCAACCTGAAGCACAAAGATAACAGTCAGTCAAAGATTTTTGCTTGCAGCCCTATCGTTATTGTAAAGGGGGAAACTAAACAGCTAAGGATAATAGAAAAGCTAAAATAAGTCTGATACTATTGCGTACATTTAACTATGTATCCATAACTACTGTATAACTACTGCCTATGTACTGCTAACTAGTATTGTATATATATATTACTACATACATAAGTATAGGCCAGGTTGTACTCTACCTGAGTGGTTTTGCCACAACCAGTTTCTCCACTTATCACAATAACCTGATTTTTCTTCATCAAGTCAAGAAGTCCCTAAATTATAAACAAAACATGTGCATATCTTTTCATTTGATATATAATATTGTCAATGAAATATTAATTTCTCTCTATTACAACATGTGAAGATATTACATTCTGTGCAGACACTCCAACCATGACCACTTTTTTCAAACATGTCTCATGTAACATGTCTCAAAGATAAAATGTGTATCTCCACATGCCATGCAGTATCCACTATATGATACATACCTCTTTCATGCTGTAAGAAGGAAGTTTGGATCTAAAAACCTGCAACAGTGAAAAAAATCCTTTAGTTTCCCTTTGTGATTTTAGTTTCACTAAAGGGCTTCTACTGCTATCTGTCATGCATCTGTTATATGGCTATAGTTGGATAAGCTGGTTGAACATCAGTCTGTCTGTTTATGGCCAAGGCCAGACCAGCACTCTTAAATTTCTGAGGACAAGATGCTGCTTCAAAATATTTGCAAATACAGTATATGAATGGATATCTAAATGTAGGATGGCAGTCTTGTATTCTGGATGAGGACCTCAAGTTTGATTCCCTCCTTAAATAGAGCTACGATTTTCATAATCATATCATCAGATAAAAGTACAAAAAGTTAAAAAACTCACCTGCATATCAATGTATTTCCTGTTAGAAACTGCCTTTTCAATAAATTCAAGTTTGAGATTGTCATCTAAAGCTGCATCTCTTTGAAGAGAGTCATTTCCAAAGGGAGAGGCCCAAAAATTTGAGGATGATTTCATTGTTGTTGAACCAACTTCATCAAACATACAAATAGCATCACCTTCCACAGTTTGATCATTTTTAATGGATATGTCTGTATCATCATCTGAACATAAACAATAGTACCAGTATATATATATAATATTGATATACTTTGATGAAATATATTATATATTGAGTAACTGAACACATGGGACATCCCAGAATGCATGCACTAAGCAATAGTTAACAAATAAAGACTGATAGAGTAATACGACATAACCCTGTTATCTCTCATTGTCGAATGCATAATTATAGCACCAAGAAACAAGTATACTAACTACTTGCAAAATATTAATTAAAATGTCCTTGAAACAAAGAAAGATGTGTGATGATAAAGAACATCTTAGTTGGCAGCTTAGCAAGTTAACTTACCCTCATTATCTGACAAATCTCTTCCATCAGAGCCATGACCTCTTCCATCATTCATGCCTTTATTTTGTTTCCACCCTGATGCAGATTGTTTCTCTGTGCTTTGTACATTTTGAATCATTTCTACTTCCATGATCACATTTTCATAATATGATGTCTCTGTCTGCATTGGGGATTCACAATATTCGTCCTTTGTGTGAGAATCCTTACCAGAAAGACTGGTGCTTCCATCATCATGTGACTCTCTATCATACCTTGTTGGGCTAGATCTGTTGTCATACCTGTTACCATGGTGATGTCTGTTACCATGATGATGCATGTTAACATAGTGATGTTTGTTACCATGATGATGCATGTTACCGTAGTTATGCCTGTTACCATGGTGATGTCTTTCATTGCTATGTGAAGAGGACTGGTATGGTTCATCTTGTAACCTCTCTAGTAGCTGGCTAATCTTTTCTTCTTTATGAGAACTCATTGTAACCACGTCACGCTAAATGAATAGATACAAAATATGTCAAATACATTTATCAAAAAAAAAGCAAATGGATAGACGGACAGAAATTGCTGACTTGCATTTTCAAGTACCCACAAATTAAAGCAGCTCCATTGGTTGTAACATTTACATCATTTAAAGGTCTCATTTATCAGTAGGTTTGGCAAAAAGTCGCTTTATCCCGTATTATTTCTTGCATATATTAGGACATTTATCCACCAAAAGAGAGAGTACAAAAAATTATGTGGACGGATATATACTTTATGTCCACTCACCTCTGTCAGTTCCTTCTTCTTCTTCATTTCTTTACCTCTTGCAGCATACCACAGACCTATTTCCTTGCCGGTTAATCCAGATGGATGTCCACCACCACCCCTTCTACCTCGACCACGTCCACCACCGCCACCACCACGGCGAACACCTTTCAATATAAAATAAATAAATCACTTTTATTTAAGTGTCTAGTCGTTCACGCACTACCACTACATTCAATATTCTATGCACACATGAACGTTCAACTCACATGTTGATTTTTACGGAGGGAGGAAACCGGAGAACCCGGAGAAAACCCTCGTAGCATAGGAGAGAACRACACATCAAACAAACTCAATTCACATGTGGCGCCCACAGGGCTCGAACCAGCGACCCAACCCGTTGGACTCACAGCGGTGAAAGACAACGCGTTAGCCGCAAACGCCGCCCATGCTATCCAAAATAGTTCATCAAAGTTCAAGTAGCTCAAATTTTACACAACAAGGCCAGGATTAACTACATACGTATTCTTACCTCCTCTGTGCATCGTATACTAGAAGGAGTATTCAACAATTAATACAATATTTGCCCACCAATCACCGCTTCATCTCACGATACTCGTCCTTCTTGTTCAGGTTTGTTTTGTCCGCCATGTCTGAACCTGCAGTACATATCAGCGGATTTTACCAATATATGATGCGTGCTCATGATCATCCGCTGTTAGGATGTTGAGCCCACGGATCCAAAACATTCGAACACCGTACAGGAACCGTACGGCAATGTCAAGTAATGGTACGACTGATAATGTGGATCAAAACGGGAAAAAATATACCTTCGTTTGTACTAAAGATAAAATCATGCAGGAAAGAAAGATGCAGTGCAGAGTGGATGGGAGACAAGTAGCTATGTTTTATCATGATGGAGAGATATTTGTTCTGGATCACAGTTGCTACCGTAAGTATTAAATTTCCACAGAACAGTTGGTGAAAAATAACCTCTCACTTAAGTGTGCTTGATTTGTCTGTAGATGCAGGAGGCCCTTTATCACTAGGGGACATAGAGGTAGGTAAAATGAATACCGACATACAAATATTAAAGCTAAGCAGAAGGCCCTGTCCCTTGGCCTTCAACTTTAGATGATCTTTGTTCCAAAGCACCACTCTCCCCTGAGGGCTGTAAATAGAATCGAGGTCAAGGTCTTGACCCCCAATCCAATCTAGCCATGCTAGATACATTCCTATTCTGGAATCACAAGACTAATCCAGTGTGTTGATTATTGTTTACAGGACATCCAGGGACGTCCTTGTGTGATTTGCCCATATCACAAGTACAAAATAACTCTTGATAATGGGGAGGGGCTTTATTATTCTTATGATATAAAGGACCTGAGAAAACCGCCAAAACTCCGTTCAAAAGGAGTGAAACAAAGAACTCATGATGTGAAGGTCAATGGAAACGACGTTTATGTGGCATTATCTGATGTGACCGAACCAAGAGACTCAGATTACTATTCATCCAGTGCATACAAAGCAGCCATGTCTTTATTGTCGTGATTCCCCCTCCCCTCCCCTCCCCTCCGATCCCCTCCCCTCCCTATATTGTACAGCGCATTTGCGCATCTTTGGAAAGTGCGCTTCATAATAAAGGATTATTATATTATTACTTACCTGTACCCTACGAGTTGTCCTACCTTACCCTACTCTACCCCATCCTATCCTACCCCATTCTATCCTACCCTATCCTACCCTGCGCATGCGCGTTGAGAATCGCGATTTCTGGTCCTTCTGTTACCATAGCAACAGAACTTCAAGGAAAACTTACTCAACAGGAATTATTGTCTTTAAATAGCGATGTTACGTCACGATGCATGATGCCTGCTGATCTTTGATTCATGTAGAAAACTGATTACTGATCTAAAGGCCAGTGATTATTGCATTGCATGATATATGGCTCGCAGCACGTAACACTCTACTTTTCATCATCATTTACGAACTGAAGATCGTTCGGAGAATTCCTACTGTTTGCATGACAGTCCAATTTTCACAAATATATCGAATTATTCTAGTTTGCTGAAGTAAGGCTTATGTATAAATTGATTAAGATATGGACAAGTGAATACATTTGTCTTTCAGACGGCCTAGCTTTCGTTGTTTGAACGCGTACATAAAGCAGTAAAATCACTGCTGTCAGTGTGAATGCAATCATTCGATCAATAGGTAGAGATACGTTAGGCCGGATTTTCCGCGCTTTGAGTGTTTGTTCATAGAAGCAGCAAGAAAACTGTATTATTATTCTGAATGTGAAGGGCGTACAAAATACGCGCCATGCTATAGACCACATTAAAAGGAGGGATAACTTCTCATTAGTTAAACGTCTTGTCATTCAGAATAATCCCTTAAATAGTTAATGACAAGGAAAAATATATGATTACATAAACTGATCAGTACTCGTCTCTTATTTTTGAAATGCATGTCTGATATTTCGATTCTAATTAGAAATACCGATTCAAAATGATGTTATATAGAAGTAGTCACCAGTTCGTTTCCACTACACATCCATGTTCTAGCAGCAAAGTTAAAAGCCACACAAATCCAGGATACAGATTAGGTTAATACCATAAGCAAAGACAATTTTTTCCAACTGTGCCTGCACTAAACATTTCATGCCGTGTCATAAGGAATGTTTTTCATAAATGGCAGATGTTTTCTATGTAAATGTGAGAACTCTAGTCTTCATCGACTATAAGCTTTAATAATTGTATGTGCAGTTAACGACCGAAAAAGTCTGCTACATTGGTAACACTGTACTGAATGAGATATCAGACTAAGGTACAGATATATATCAAAGCCGGAAATTTTATTCATTTGTGCACTTTTCCTTGGATAGCAGTTTTAACTTTCAACCCACACATTTCTTAGCTCAAAATTTTATTTCAGCATTGATCGTCATGGGAACATGAAACGAATCTTCGGTTATACTAAAAATGGTTTGGATCTGAACATCTTTGACAGGTCTGGATGATAAGCCAGGTAAGACTTTCCTTGTAGCGTTTCTTAAACTCGGCCAAATGAGTAGGACATTCACATTGCTTTATTTGAAAGTCATCAAATTTCCTAGCGACGTTAGCACTAATATATTTTCCCCAGACGTTTTCATATTGATAAGCGTTAGGAAAAAAGTCCTGAATGCTGCTCAAGCGCAGTCATAAACAGACGAATGTTTACAGAATTGAAATTGATATAGCACTGAACTGAACGGAAACCAGCTGTAGACTAGGTCGAGTTGATGAATCTCTTTATGGGCTGTCTGTAACACTAATCAATATATAACCAAGATAAAGTCTCGTTTTAATAGCTTAGTATTATTTTTGAAGACATGAACGACTTTATTCAACTAGTGTAGATACTAATTTTGTGACTTCTTGCAATCGATCGAGCCCAATCTTTTATTGATAACAATAACATAATTCCTTTTAATATTCAATACAGCCAGCGGTACCCTCGGTGTTCAGTATCCTATTCACTTTCTTATATATCCGAAAATAAACCAAATAATTGATTTGCTTCTAATCGTCAAATTGTTTCTGAAAAAAAAGGTTTGGTTCAGATTCTGTTTTACTTGGATACCACTGACATCTAGTTTGGTTTAGCTTATTACTTATATATTTTCGGCTTGCGATAACAATTCGATAAATCTTAAATGGTCAATTTATGTTTGTTTAATCAACAATTAAAACAGCAATTTGAATGGGTAGGTTTTATATTATGTGGACGAATACGCGACACTGCTGTCGCTACTGATGACTAGACTGCCAGAACTGATATGACAAAAAAAGTCACTTACATCGCTAGAGCATGGAAGTGTTCTCTGATCTTGCTTACATGCATTGGGGGTTATTGGACTATCGAGCAACTCTCTCATGGGCTGAGTTTAAAACCTTCTCGCGTTTCTTCATTTTTTGAGTCAAAAGTATACCATTTAGATCAGCTATAATTCAGAGAGAGAGAGAGAGAGAGAGAGATCTGCTGACAAAACTCATAACAGAAAACTCGATAAATTTTAATGTAATGTAACTTAAAGTAATCACTTGAGCGATTGAATGGGATTCAGTATTAGTTCTGCCATACACCGTACCTTTGCTACTTATGCACATTTAACCATGTTTTTGTATCCATAGCAACCATGACTCGGGTCGATTTCTCAAGATGAATAAACAAGTGTTGACGGTAAGAAAAGGTTTTGACCTGGAAATTGCCATTTTTAAGGCTTTCATAATATGTTATTTCACAGAAGCATTTGATCTGAGCCATAACGCATTCTCAGTTCGGTATTTTCCATTAAGATTCCCGTTTTTGAACCTTACGGCAAATGGCTTACATAACCACGTTTTGGCATCGTTTTCTTGTATTTCACTTTTGGTTTTTCAATTATTATTTTGTTTATCGACTACTTGGAGATTTTTACGATTTTTTTTTTCTGTTCAAATCGCCTGACGTTTCACATCGACTTCGTCTTCTCTCGTGATTAAAACGATAGCCGAATGGTAAATGGAATAAATTGATTTTGATGTTGATGTTGATCAACTGATTGGCTGATAAAATCTCTTCCTTTAAGATTTCTCTTATCTTTACGCGTTGCATGGTAGCCATAGGTTCAAGCTTTTAGGACTAAGGAAGATTATACTTATTATTATCATCATTATTATCATTATTATTATTATTATTATTATTATCATCATTATTATTATTAKTAGTAGTAGTAGTAGTATCAATTATTATTAATTATTATTTATTTATTTATAATTTCTTGTTAGTATTTGTTAACCATTATTGATTAATTATATATTATTTCTATTTATTATTTGACTAAAGAGGAAGATGTTTTTTAGTAGGATTACTTATCATAATACTTTTCCATTTTTGGCCTATGTTTTATTCTGGTAGATATTTCTATCCACCAGACCGTAATACCATACTTTTCTGTTCCTCAGTTGTGTTCTTGACCATGGATAATGTGTCAGACACCAAACGACCATTCACTCCTGAATTCCTCAGACTACTGAGAAACAATATAAACAAGGATTATCTGAAGTCGTATAAGGGGTTTCTAAGAATGGCACAACTTGTGAGTAGCAATCGCCCTTTCTTGTGTACAATTAATGTTCAATCATGATATCACCGTAAGAGTAGTTTTAACGAGCAATAAACACCTCATACCTCATGGTGAAGGAGTTCGATGATTTTTTTTGGCTTGCACAACAACGGGATCCTGGATCGAGGGGAAGTCTCAAATTCTCTGCCGAGCCTCAATTCAGCTGCAGGGCCTTGCGCCGACTGATTCGGTCCCATTACTCGTGTAGGATTCTCACACATGCAACACAGATCGTGAGAAGTGGATTGAATTGTAATTCTAATAATTATAACTCGGTCACCTATTCTTTTTTGTTAGTTCATGTTATTAGCCTTTAATTTCAGGACCCTTTCCGACGTCGTGGAAAAACCTGAGTCTAGTTGGTATTGCAATGCATTGCGGAAATGTTTTACGGGAGAAAATAGGCACCATCTTGGAAATACATCCCCTAAAACAGCCCCACAATGCACTTTAATACCAACCCTACCCAGTTTTCCCCTCAAAATAGCTAATAAGGGATTCACATCAACGTTATCCTTTCTTCTTTCTCTTACTTTCTTACATACTTAGGTTACCTTGGTGACGGCTTTTTCTGCGCTTGCGCACTACAAGATAATCGTATCCTCTACAAATCTAATGTATTATATATTCATGACGGCTACTACTATTATCTGTCTGGCAAACTTGGTTCTTTTCTGCGTGTCTTTCTTTTCGCTGGACAAAAAGAAACTACCAATTACTTCAAAAAAATTTGTAAGTATAGTTATGTGTAGTGTACTTGGTGATGTATGATGTACATTTCGAAATCGTCATGTCATTCGAAATTAAATTTAGTCTTAAAACGTTTTTGATTATAAGGCGTAGTAAGGGGGGTTCTTCAAGATAACCTTAACCACCACTGGAACAACCCAGTCTTTGATTAGATCATAATGGATGGTGGTCATGCACCCTCATCACGGATCTTTACAAATCTTTCTAACTAAAGTATTCCTTCATTGTAAACTAGATAATCATATATTCTGCATTTTCTGGTCATCTGCTGTTGGTATTGTCGTCTTTATTGGCTGTTGAGGCAGCACAAGTCAAGAGTAATACAACTGTTCAATCCATCACTCAAAAGTGCATTAAATGCAGCAAGATTAACATTGCCGCGGTAAGCCAAAAACCATGAACCACAGAGGTGCATTCTGGTCTAGCTTGGGTACAAACAACACTATGTAATATAATAAAGAAAAGTAGTCTGTATCCAAGCTATAGAAGATCACGCAAGTTATTTAAGATTTTTTCTGTTTATTTTCAGGTGTTTGGCTTTCTTTCGTGGATTCTTTTTACAGTGGAACTGATTCAAAATCTGATGCAATGTAGATGTGGAAAAACAAAAGTTTCTCATGTTGACGTTCAGGAATTTGAGACTGCTGAACATATATAACACTCATTCACTTGTAAATAATGCAAGTTTTTTGATAGTCTTTTGTATAAATGGTACAAAAAAAGATATCCCATTAAGCAAGCAGCTGGACTTGTTCGGCTGCTGATAGAATAATGAAATAAGAGAGGAACCTACAAGCTACTAAAGGATGTCGACAGGATACCGACAGGATACCGACAAGATACCGACAGGATACCAACAAGATACGAAGAAGCTGTGAATGTAATACGACAAGATATGAAAGATAAAAATGAAGTAGAGGCTGGTTTGCAGTCACTGTGCAAGACACGGAACAAAACCACGGTCAACACGAGCCTGCGTTTCTCTTGGTCAGCACGCACAACAAAGAAACGCACTGCGCATGATTCGAGAAACAGTAGAACTATCCAGAAGTATCCAGAACTAAAACATTTGTAAATATGGAAATATTAATGTCCATACTGCAAGAGAGTATAGTATGAAATAATTGTTTTTGCAATTCATCTCTGCTTTGATGCGAGAGTCCCGTGTCCCCCCAAAGAAATGATTAAAAGAGCAGTTTTCGTATGACCGTAAAAAGGCGGTGTCGTATACATGACTTGCCGCGACGTTGATTTTTTTTAGAATTTTGATTGGAGGATCTTTTTCTTTCCCAATGTGATTGGTGTAGCATTGCTGTGACATTGGCGTGACCGTGATGTTTTCTAGCCTTTTGATTGGGGGATTTTTTTCTTGCGCAATGTGATTGGTCGGACAGTGCCGTAACATTGGCGTGACCTTATCCGCGTTGTGTTCGTGCCGTGTTTCAGGCATTTGATTGGACGGAGAGTAAATTCCCTTGCAATGTGATTGGTCTGGCATATCCCTTGCTGTGTCATGACCGTGTTCGTGCTGTGAGCTTTTTACAGTCAAGCTCTAATATCTAGGAGCAGACGGTCATTTTAATTTCTTCCAAATTTTGTCCGGTTTCACAACCTAAACAGCGCTGTCAGCGGCCGGAGTGAACAATAAAAGGTGGACAGACCTGACTATTTTAGCAGATTACATCCCTATAGATTCTTAAGCCCCGCTTACACTAGCGATTTTTTTCCGATTTTTTTTCGATTTTGTGCATAATAAATAATGGTAAAGAATTTACTGGTAAAGTTTTTTCAGGATACCAAGATTTTCCCTAGAAATGTCAAAAGATTTCATATTTCCGAAAAAGAAGACAAAAGGAACAAGTAAAATACGATCTTATTCAGATATGATAAAATCAGGTATCGCTTTATTTATAAAAATTATACCATGACAGGCTGTGAAGCAAAGTGGCAAGAAAATATCGTGCAATTTCTATGATTAACCTTTGGGCTATTTTTCTAGTCAGTAAATATTTACCAAAATAAAAAAATATTTGGTCGAGAAGGACAGAGTCTTTTGGTCTCTTTTGGTCCCTTGGCCAAACTAATTAGTGGTTTACCCATGGGCGTCTAATATTCATTTGTTCATCTATAGTTTATCTATCGGTGATCCTCTCAGTGATCAGTTTTACACGTAGAAGTTCAAGATGGCTTCACATTTTTCTTGTTTTCCTGAGATCAGTTCAGGGTCTCCATTTTCCATGATGTAGCTCTGAGGAAATACAAAAAAGAAACATTTTGTGATTGAGTGAGTTGGAGCTCCTTTCTTTAGTTTGATAACAGGATGCACCTTGGTCTAGCTTCGGAAAATTAACACCATATAAGGCATGATCGTCACCATCGTCACTATGGTTGCTATCGTCTCAATCGTCACTATCGTCACCATCGTCACTATCGTCACTATGGTTGCTATCGTCACTATCGTCACCATCGTCACTATCGTCACCATCGCCACAATCGTCGCTATCGTCACTATCGTCACCATCGTCACTATCGTCGCTATTGTCACTATCGTCACCATCGTCGCTATCGTCTCAATCGTCACATGTTTGTACCCAAGCTGGACCACAATGCACCTTGCTCACTATCTCAGAAAAGATCTATGGAAATGGTTTACTAACCTCTAGCTCTTCTAGTGACGTCAACCCTTTCTCAATCTTGACTCCAATACCGTCATCAAACGATGAATAATGTTCCTGTGATCGGAAAGAAACTGTGTAAAGAAAGAGCTGAGCTCGATTTTTATCTTTTTATTTTCCTTACCTTAACAAGTGAGCTCAGTTTTCCTTCTTCGATCAACTTCATGGCTGACTTGAGGCCTCGAGCAAATGCATCCATTGCCCCTAGAAACATCAACCAACACATTTATTTATTCTCCATTCGTTTGAGAACTAATTTACCGCTACTATGATATAGTGGAGGATTTGGCGGGGTGCACCTTAGGGCGCCATTGACAGCGGCCGCGCAGAATACAACTGATGACGAAAAGAGCAGTGTAACAATGAGAAAAGGTAGGCTGTTGAACCGATTAACCTACCAATGTGAGCAATAAACATATCTTCAACATCAGTTGATTCTCGTCGTACTTTACAGTCAAAATTCAATCCGCCAGGAGCCAGTCCATTTTGTTCGATTACAGCCTGTTGTAAGAAAGAAAACAAATCCATAGCACTTTAAACTCATTAGAATAAAAATGAGAAATATAAAAAGTTTGAGATAACACACCTTCATGACGAATGTACAGTTCTTGACGTCCATTGGAAACTGGTCGGTGTCCCATCCAAGGTCAGGTGATCCAGTATTGGAATCAATAGATCCAAGCAAACCATATCTAAAGGACAATGGAAAATAACCTAATGAGCATGGCGTCCCTCAAGGATCAGTACTTGTTCCTTACTCAAATGTCATTGTCATATGTCGAACCTAACCAAGATCATGTTGCTTACTTGGAAGCCACGACTATATCGTGTTCGTAGCTGTGACCTGCTAATGTTGTGTGGTTAGGTTCGATGTTCAGCTGCAGAAGAATTGATTATAATACAAGTATTAGTATAAATGCAAAAGAAAATAATGCTTACAGAGTTCCTTTCCCTGAAACAAACTGCTCAATGACTTAGGAATGGTTGTTTTTCTTTAACTTACAGCGTTAGCTAATAATACAACATAGTTAGAGAGGGACAGTCCCAAATTCTGAATTCGACCTATCGGCTGCCTTATCAATTGAGTTGCGAAACCATTTAGGCATTAAGTTGTCCACCCAGATAAATGCATTTAGATTTAGATCCCCCCTTTTATAACTTTCACTACTGAGAAGAATGGCAGAAAGATGACTCCACTCTCGGGAGACACAAATCAATTCACCTTGAAATCGTTGTCCAAGCCATAAGTCTTCAAAAAACCAATGACAGTTTGGGCATCTAAAATAAAAGAAGTTTATTTATCACATTCATCATTCGTCATCAACTTAAGATAGCCATTCAATTGAACCAATCATAGAACATAATAAGATTGCTACTCATCCAATCCGTATATGGTCAAGCTAAAGCCTTGTTTTCACAAGCAACGGAATCGGAAGCAACTTACGACGAAGTAAAAAACCAGAAAGCAGAGTCGAAATCGGAGGTGAAAACAGTTCAAATTGCGTGAAATTAAAAGTGAAAATCACTCTTCATAAGCGAAGGAAAAGCATAAGCAAAAGGAAACCTTCCGATCGCTCGTGATTCAACTTCTGATGCGCTTCCAACTCCGATTCCAACACCGTTTTCTGGTTTTCACTTCATCATGAACCGCTTCTGATTCCGTCGCAAGTGAATGAGCCACCTGGTCTTATGGCACTGTTATCTCATACCGTACGTTTTACCCTAGTTAACTATAGTTTTACGCAGTCAATTTATTTGTAACCTAACAGTAAAATCTTTGTGTCACCATAGTAAAGAATTCCAAGCTGAGTTGAATCGCAACTGATTGATTTCTTTTTGCATATTGATATAACATTTTCTTGCAGTGCAATTCTCACCATAATCGTACTGGTGTTTTGTTGGTTCTTTGGGCTTTGGTTCAATCAACAGTTGTCCAGTAAATCCAATTTTCTTCTTGTACGCTAATCAAATAACAATGAGAAGGGAATAGATATTGAGTTAAAATATGACATTCATGTTAAGGCCTTAGGAGGAAAAACTGAGCAACATTTTCTAGGAGATAAGATATGTTTGGAAGGTCAAGGAGAGCACTATATAATACCTATCACCATGCGAAAGAAGTTGGCCATGTGATCCAGTTCACGTTTGACATCTGTATTGAGCAGCGTATGATATCCTTCTCGTCCTCCCCAGAACACTGAAGTTAGAACACAGCACAGCAAGTAACTTTCAATCTACTGATCCTCTTATTCTGCTATTATGTTAATGATTTAAAGCTTGCCAAACGTTGTTTAGGAGAAGGACCCCCACCCCTCTGGTATCTTTTCCAACATTATGGACTAGCAAGGTATTTTATTCCCAATAGAAAGAGACCTCAGTGATCTGAAGTAAACAAACATAAATATGCCTCAAAGCTAAATGGATCTTTTTCTCACCAAAGTTTTCTGCTCCTAATTTCTTAGCAATTTCAAGTCCTTTTTTCACTTGTGCTGCAGCATAAGCAAAGACATGAGCATCTGGATTGGTGGCAGCTCCATTCATGTACCTGATATCATACATATATTATATATATCTATCCTCACTTGCAAAGAATGTGAAGAAGTTTTTCCATTCTCTGTTCAGTAATAGAGGAAGCAGAAAGTGACAAAAGCACGTGAATGAAGTGTGAAAAGAAGCAGCAGTAGGCAAGTGCTTCTGACATTTTTTGAGTACTTTTTGCACTTAATTCTTCCTCTGTACTGTATTACTGAATGGCTCAGGGAGCATGGAAAAAGTTTTTCTATTTGTTTTATTACGTAGACAGAAATTTTCAAAATTCATGTTTTTTTACACTATTTTGCAATAAGCAGGTTGTCCTCACACTGATGGCATCAGCAACTGTGCTTCATTCACTAATACAGTACAGCACAGATCTCAACCATTGATCACAGTGCACATACTATCTAACCTGTATAATAATTTGTCAATCCTCTTATTTTTACCTTGTGTGAGCAAATAAGTTACAAGTTGCCCATAGCAACTTGACCCCTGTTTTATTCTGCAGTTCCAGAGCAAGATCTGTGATTTCATCTAAATTAGCATTTGTTTCTGCCAATGTTTCACCTTCAGGAGCAATGTCCCTGGAAATAAATGAACATTTAAAAAAAATTAGATTCCAAGATTCCATCTGCACACAAATTTTGACTAATAATTTAAATTTCTTTAAAGGTATATGCTACCTGTCATGAAATGTCCAGTATGGAACCCCTAGTTTACTGAAGAATTCAAAAGCTACTCTCAGCCTCCTTTTAGCATTTTCCATGCTGTTGGTTCCATCCTCCCATGGACGAGTTAGAGTAGGGAAACCAAATGGATCTGCACCTAAGACATTACATGATATTACAGAAAATTTTTATTTTCACACAACTTGTGCAGAACTACAGACACTACTGGCTGAGAACCTGTGAAAATCCTGTGGAAAATGTTGTATTGTGTAAACCTATATTTCTGAAATGTCACAGGTTTTTCATAGGATTTTCATAGGTTTTCTGTCAGTAGTGATTGAGAGTACCTAGCAAATTATATGAACATACTAATAACAATGCTTTCTATTGTTGTATGCCTTGTTCTACGAGTTTTGACAATGCATATCATATGTGGGATATTCTGTAGTTGCTCCAACTTAACTATGACCAACCTGTTCCTCTAAATGTGTGCCAATAACAGACTGAAAACCTCAGCCATTCCTCCATAGTCTTTCCATTGATAACCTAAGAAATGAAACATAGGGAAATAAAATATATTATAAATACTAATGTTCGCGATTTTTTATTTATATAATTTTATACTAAATTCCAATTATTAAGAGTGTAGAAATTCTACATTCATCTCTTCTACATTCATCTCTATGCATAGATACTGGGGCTCGTACACGTACACAAACAATAGTGAAGTCATTTGATGGCGCGTTTCTCTGTTGCTTTTTAGTCTACAGATCAAGTGAACACCTTCAATACGTACTTCCTTGGCATTGTAATGCTTGAAGCACAACACATCTGTTGCACCAGCGTCTGGTTTGAACTCAATTTTAGGTATACCTAACGAGAAAAAAGTTTTAACAAATCCCTTATCACATGATCATTAGCAGGACATCATATACTGTACAATGTCTGTCGTACAGCCTGAAATCATCGATCTTGCCTTTAAAATAATCCACGTCTGTGGGTTCACTGCTTGCAATCTTTGCTTTCTTGGTAGACGGTGCAAATGAAGACATAGTAAATGCTGCGATAGTGTAGAAAATTAAAAAAAGAAACAGAGAACAAAAATTCCAAACAAAGCGAGCAGTGGCAGGTACAGATATTCGATACCAAAACACGATTTGCACAGGCGTTCCTCGACAGTACTTGCGCCTGCAAACTAACCAGCGGATGTACGAAGCAATTCAAAATGGAGGACGATTCTCCTGTGATTTACGGCTTAGAGTTTAACGTGAGTTTATTGAATAACTATCCGCAATTTGGACATTTTAAGACCTATACTTGATCAAATGATATTCGTAGTATCTTATATTACGATATTTTCTGTAATCATTGTATATTTTGTTGTCATATTCATTGTTCTACTGTGGTGTTCCACCAGGCTCGAGCTTTGTGCCCCCAACATGCAGAAGCTGATGTTATAAGATTTTTGGTTGGTTCACAGTCACTCAGGTTTGAAAATCAGGTAATATCATATCCTATTATAACATAACACGACCTATCAGGATGCATGGAATATCAACAATTATAGTTATACTTTTTCTCTACAGGTCCACTTGATAGATTTTGACGATGAAAGTAACATTATCAATAAAAATGTTTTTATGCATTCGGTAGGAGAAATATGGTAAGTCTCTACCTTCTCTATTATCATAAATATTGGTTCCCTGTGTAACTGTGTAGGGAGGATGTTTGAGGGTGTCAACTCAGCACCTTTAAGCAATTAAGTAATTTTAAGTAATTTATTCATTCATGTAGACACACAGGAGCTTACAATAAAGTCTCGTTAGAACGTGCACATGCTAAACTAAAATCTAAATAATACAATACAGATAAAATTCTAGATCTAAAAAACCTTCCCTTGTTTTAGACTAGAACGTCAAGGTGCTTTAGACTTGTTTTATTTTCCCCTGGCTGAAACTGATGGAGTTCCTGTGTATTTCACAGAAATATTTCCATGGAAGCATATTGTATGCTTTAATTTGTTAGTGTGTTCTGGCCCTCCATTTCTCTAGGACTCCAGAACTAAAACTACACCAGTGAACTGGTAGTGTGTTCTGGCCCTCCTTTACTCTAGGACTCTAGGACTAGCTCTCTCATGATTTCTTTCATCATGTGTGATTATTTATTAAGCATATCATTAATTTTTTTACATGTTCATTCTTTCTTAAGGTCAATAAATTCAAGTCCAGTTGACAAGAATATTCTCTCAACATGTTATAATAAAGGTAAAAAAAAAAAAAAGAACAAAAAAGAACAAAAATAATAAGTTTCAAATTAATTAATGGTTTTTCTCATAAATAATGCATTTGGGCAGCCTGACTGATAGTTTGCATTCCTTTCACTTTCCAGTAAGTGATAACAAGGCTGAAATCAAGGCAGGAATCTGGAGGATTCCACCAGTTGACGAGACAGAGCCACCACCCCCTGACTCCCCAGGGTTGAGTCACTCATCTGGTGGAGGCTACACTAGACCACTGCAGCTTGTATGTGAACTGGATAATCAAAATGAAAATATGAAAAGGTTTGTAGAAATGAATGGACTGTTTGGTTTGGTTTTTAGCCTTATGATTTCTCTATTTACAAGATGTTAAAAGTTTACAAGATGTTAAAAGTTCTTAAGGTAGAATCTGCAGAAATTATATGCTCTGTGTACCTAAGGTGTTACTTTATATGTAACTTAGATGTAATACAAAAGAGAAAGAGGAGGGGAAAAAAAAAGATTTTGATGCTTATTATGCTAACTTTTCATTGATCATTGATCATTTTAGTGTGTTGTGGAATCCTTCTGGTAATGGTTCTCAAGTCATCTCTGTATCAGAACAACATTTAAACCTTTGGGACATAAATACTTCCACTGCTATTCTTGAAGTAAGTAATACCATGACTGCTTCATCAAGGAATTCAAACATTTTACCCAATGCATTACTTCTTTGTTCCAGTCTGTTGATTCTGCCAACCTTGTTGGTAAAGGTCAACCCAAGTTCACTACAGGAAGATGGAATCCACACCATGGTGGATCACAGTTAGCGACAACCAATGACACAACCATACGAGGCTGGGACTCAAGAACACTAAGGTTGCACTTGTTATTTATTCTCAGGTTTTATGTTTAGCATCAATTTTGACAGCAATTTTGGCATAAGATTGATTGGAAGTCATAGTTTATTGCAATTTTAAGCCACCAATACATATTACACGGTTCGGAAGGGAATAAATAATTTATTCTGCATATATTTTGCAACTATAAAACATATTTTCTCCCAACTTAAGCCGTCAATGTAAACCTGTATTGGCAGCTTTAAATCCCAATATTACCTTCAATTATTTAGTCACCTTCAATTTCCATTTCATTTAAAATAAGAATTTAAGTTTTCATTACTAGTTTTTATTCATTCAAACCTAGAGAGTGTATGTGTATATTAATTTTAGTGTTAATGCTGTGCACCATCATAATTTAGTTCATTGTGCCTTATCTTTTTTTTACCTACAGACAAGTGTACATGATAGAGAATGCTCATGGCCAACTAGTAAGAGATATAGACTTCAACCCTAACAAGCAGTATTACATGGTCAGTTGTGGTGATGATTGTAAGATTAAATTTTGGGACACACGGAAGATTGATGAACCACTGATGGTTGTCTCTGAACACTCTCACTGGTACGTAAAAGTAGCTTTAGAAACAAGTTTGTATTGCTTGATATCAATCAGCTGAATTATTCTCACTACCAGCCTTCAGTGAAGGGCAAACATTGCCTGTCATGTGACATCAACCTGAGAGTATTCTACACCATTGCTTCACATCAATTAGTCGAATAAATCTCATTACCAATGAAGAGGAACCACTGCCCCTCATGCTCCATCATTTATGTACATCTGCATTGAAAATTTGCATTCTGCTGATAAAAACTGCACAAGACTAAATATAATTTCCATTGATTACGACCTATCATATAGTCTGAAGGATGATCCTTTAAATGGCTTTGATCATTGGAAGGCAAAGTGAACCTGGAGTGACTTTGTATACAGGATTATTCTAGAAAGAGAAAAATTCCCAGAAGATTCAAAATAATATCTGTGATCAATCAATCAATCAATCAATCAATAAATGAATGCTTTGTTTCAGGGTGTGGAGCATTCGTTACAATCATTTCCATGATCAACTTCTGCTGTCATCAAGCAGTGATAGCCGTGTTATTCTTCATAATATTATTTCTTTGTCATCTGAACCATTTGGTCACCTTGACAATGAAGAAGATGAGGAAGACAAGATAGAAAAAACGTATGAATGAAACCTTGCTTCTATCAGTTTACTTCTCTTTTAATGCATGCGGATAAATTAACATTTTAATTATACAGCTTCTCATTAATCGCATATAGGTAACTGTCCAATTATTTTCTTAATTGGACAGGTCTTGTTGATATGGGATTAATTAGGCAGCTATATAATTAATAGGTAATGGGATTTCATGCTCCCCAATCAAGAAATAATCAGACTCGAAAAAATTCCTCTGACTGCCAAATTGGACTCATAAAATAAATAAATAAATAAATAAATCACAATCATCCAATTTTGGAAGTCCTCGGAATTTTCCTCGTCCAATTATTTCTTAATTGGACAGTATGGAGTCCTATTACATATACTAATGGTTAATATTCCTTTCAAATGCCAAGTATTTTTGTGTAACTGTTACGTTACCTTATCCATGGGCTAGCTACATTTTTCCTTCCTACTTTTAAAGTAGCAATTCTTGATTACTGTACTTGTTTATTCCCCTGCTACCCCCCACCATTCCAACCCTTAGATACAGCCATAACACTAAGATCATGTTTTCTCTTAGGTCTAAAGATCCCGCTACCGACGGCGTAATAGCAACATTTGATGAACATGAAGACAGTGTTTATGCCTCAGAATGGTCAACTGCCGACCCTTGGGTGTTCGCATCTCTCTCTTACGATGGAAGACTTGTCATCAATAGAGTACCAAGGGCAGAAAAATACAAAATACTGTTATAAGAAGATATAGAAAAAATCGTAAGGGAGTTGGATTGGGAATATACGTTGATAATATCTAGAAATTCGTTGTTTCAATTTCAAACACGATACATACTGGTAGTTAGTATGAAATATTTCAAATAATGTACAAATGTCTATACTAAGATAAATAAAATGCTTGTTTATATAGTAATATGTCACGTGAATTTCACCAGACATCTGGTGGCAGTTGTGCCATTCCTTTTTCACTTACTTCCGCCACTGTACATTTTTACTCAATATCAAGTGTGTCGTTAAATAGGCCCTTTGCAGCTAGTGGTCACGTGCTTGGATACCGCTTAGCAACACAAAACTGGAGAGCAAGCCTTCCAGTAAACAAAAGTTGTAATA